CAACAAAAGGTGCAAAGAAAGGACAGGATAGGTACATAAAATATTTTAAAGATCAATACATAAAGATGCTCATCTCCGTTTCAAAGCCAAAGAGCCAGCACTGCCTGAAGATGTCTCCATGGTCATGTGGCCGGCATGACTAAACGCCAAAGGCACACGGAACGCTGTTACCTTCCCACCAAAGGTGGTTCCTATTTTTCTACTTGCATTTTTTTTTGTATTTTCAAGGTTGGCAGAAGCTGGGACAAGTAACAGGAGCTCACTCTGTTACGTGGCACTAGGGATTCGAACCGCCGAATTGCCGACCTTTCTGATCGACAAGCTCAGCATTTCAACTACCGAGCCACTGCTTTAACAAACTCTTAGTTGGCCTTATTTCTTCCATTCTGCTGTTGAACTTCCTCTAAGGCTTCTGAAGGATATTTTGATTTTTTTTTTTTTCACCCTTGTTTTCAGGCCTTCTGGGGTTCGAGGATAACTTCAGCGCCATAAGCCTGGAGAACAAAAGGAACCTGCAGAACCAGCAGATGAGTGCCCGCCGAGAGCCCCCACCTCCCCCCCAGCCTCCCGGCCGGTCGTAAGTCATCTCAGAGATGGGCGCCCTGGGTTCAGCTTCAGAGGGCAGCTTGACCCCATGCCTCGTCTCCTCTTTAGATACCCCCGCGAGAAGGAGAGCGCCAACAAGGAGCCCCCCAAAGGCAGCAACACCATGCGGACCTTCTTTGCGCCGTCCTCCCCCACCACGCAATCCGGGCAGAGGGAAGGGCTCATCAAGCACTACGTCCTTAAGCGGGAGAAAGAGTACGTCAACATCCGGAACTTCAGGTGAGGGCTGCGCCAAAGGCACCTTTGGAGCTTTGCCTGGGAGAATTGGGCCTCCACTTCGGCTCCCAACATCGCTGGTCCATTTTCGAAGAAAAGGTGGAGGGTGGGGGAAGGAGTGAGACGCACACACACACACCCGCCCAAGAAGCTTGATTCAGATAACAGATTAACAGAGTTGGAAGGGATCTTGTGGGTCGTCTAGTCTAAACCCCCCTCCCAAACGGGAGATCCTACACGCATGCCATAGATGGCACGCAGAGCCCTCTCTGCCAACACGCGAGCCTTTGCCCCAGCTCACCTCCACTGCGCATGCACACACGCCTCCCACCTATCAGCTGATTTTCAGGTCTCTGCTGGGTATGCGGTGGGGCGGGGCTCATGCGGGAGATGCGTGCGCATGCGCAGGAGGTCACGGGTCACATACGGGGCGGGAGGTCGCATGCGTAGGGGGGCGGGGCACATTGCGTTATTGGTTGTGAGTCCAGAGGTGTCAGCTTCACGTTTGCTACTGATCTACCCTGCCTTTCCGCTTTTGAGAAGGCATCTTCCTTGCTCTTGGGCTCATGATCTCTGACCTCTAGGGATTTGCCCTGCCTCAACCCCTCCGCTTCCTTCTGTATGTTGCAGGTTTTTTATCGGGACGTGGAATGTCAACGGGCAATCGCCAGACGGGAGTTTGGAGCCTTGGCTGATCTCTGACCCGGAGCCTCCAGACATATATTGTGTGGGGTGAGATCCCCAGAGGGACCAGAGCCTTATTAGGACCATTCTTGCTTTCTCTTCGCCCCCATGCTGGTTCGGTTTCTGGTTTTGTTCCATGTTTTGTTTTTTAGAACAGGATAGAGTAGAATAGAATAGAATAGAATAGAATAGAATAGAATAGAATANTTTGGCGTTTAGTCATGCCGGCCACATGACCACGGAGACGTCTTCAGACAGCGCTGGCTCTTCCGCTTTGAAACAGAGATGAGCACCGCCCCCTAGAGTCGGGAACGGCTAGCACATATGTGCAAAAGGACCCTTTTCCTTTAGGGCAGTGGTTCTCAACCTGTGAGCCGGGACCCCTTTGCGGGATCGAATGACCCTTTCACAGGGGTCGCCTAAGACCATCGGGAAACACATATTTCCGATGGTCTTAGGAACCGAGACACCAGTTTTATGGTTGGGGGTCACCACAACATGAGGAACTGTATTAAAAGGTCGCGGCATTGGGAAGGTTGAGAACCATTGCTTTAGGGGATCCGAAAGGGATGTTGCAGAACTCATTTTGCTGCTTTTGGGGAGGGGGGAATCTAAAAAAAAAAAAGCTCACCAACCATCAGAGAAGCATCTGAGCCAATGCCTGTTGTACTCGTTTGTTTGAAAGGATGGTATTAGTCTATAAGCAGCAAGGAAGGGAAAGGCAGTAGATTAAATCTCTCCAGACCGGTTTTGCACATACCTTTCCTTATATGTCAGGAGCTAACCTCACTTGACTTCCTTAAATAATGTTTTGGTATTATATGATGCAGAAAAATCTCATTTCCCCTCCCTCCCTCCCATTCTTCTTTTTTTTTTTTAACCGTTCTTTGGAATTTATTCATTAAGCAAGTAAAGTGCTTCTGAAGGTCGCATGTGTATTATCGTACATGGCAGTTAGTAAGATGACAGTTAAATGAACAAGCAGCCCTTCTGCTTATCTCTTAGTTGGGTGGAGAGCAAAGCAAGCTATTAAACCCTGGTTCAAAGAGTATTCTGTATATTGATTTATTGCAAAGCTGATAAGCATAGTTCCTGGATTGTACTAATGGGGAAGGTAAAGCAACTTTGAGATTTTGCTGGTTAATTCAAGCTGTGAACTTAAGCAAAAGGATTCTTTCATTCTTGACCAGAAATTATTTGACATCCCTCCCTCCCTTCTTTCCTCCCTCCCTTCCTTGTCTCTTTCTTCCTTCCTCCCTTCCATTTTATATGCCCTAGTTTAGCAATACAATGTTATCCGAGAAGGTAAAGGTTCCCCTCGCACATATGTGCTAGTCGTTCCCGCCTCTAGGGGGCGGTGCTCATCTCCGTTTCAAAGCCGAAGAGCCAGCGCTGTCCGAAGACGTCTCCGTGGTCATGTGGCCGACATGAATAAATGCTGTTTCTTTCCCACCAAAGGTGGTCCCTATTTTTCTACTTGCATTTTTACATAGCAATAGCAGTTAGACTTGTATACCGCTTCATAGGGCTTTCAGCCCTCTCTAAGCGGTTTACAGAGTCAGCATATCACCCCAACAACAATCCGGGTCCCCCCCCCCCCCCTTACTTCTGAACAGTTC